GCAGCCCCTGAGATACTGGAAGACTGCTATCATGTCTCCCCTGGTCCTTCTTTTCATTAAACTAGACATACCCAGTTCCTGCAACCGTTCCTCATATGTTTTAGCCTCCAGTCCACTAAATCAAGTGACAAATATTAGTGTGCGATTTGCTCATGCATTGTTTAGTTATTTGTAAATAATACATATATTACCAAGTCTGGGTAAAATCCTGGTGGTGATACTGGTGTCCTGGATATATTTTCCTTTTATATCACTTGGCCTCTCCAACTCGGTGCTGTTCCTTCTGGTTGCCAGCCGAGCTGCTCCAAATCCAGACATTCAGTTTTTCTTGGTCCTGTTACTGGCAGTTTCTTTTTAGCTCAAATGCTGGGAACTGAACCTTGGCGTTCGCTGCCCTCAAAATAATGTGCTCCTGCCATCAAGCTATGTATTTATTTTACTATATTTATATCCCTGTGCCTTCAGCAGCGCAGTGTTCCCGAGGCAGCCTACAATTAAAATGAAATTAAAAAACAACAACAAACATACAAAAACTAAACAAAACAGCAATAAAAATCCAGCAGATGAAAATGCGCCTGGGGATGGGGTTCCTTTAGGTGTCCTCAATTGCGGTGGGCAGAAGCGGTTGGGATCGAAAATGGACAGAGAGCCAAAATCGCTTGAAATTCTGAGAAGTGCTGTTTCCTTCATAGGTCAGTGATACAAGATGACGCAAAAGCCTTTTCTTTAGAGGAAGCAGAGTGTGTTAATACTATCTCTGGAGCTTCTAGATCGGCGTTTCCCAACCTTGTAACTTTAAGCAGCCTAGATTTCCAACTATCTAAAGTTTCCCAGCCGTACTTATTTCTTCCAGAATTCTGCATCAAATCAGAATTGGGAATTGCCTTTGCCAGCTTTGCAGCCTTCAACTGATGCTTTCAGAGGCCATCAAATTTCTTCTTTCAGAGGTTAAGGGGACACGGCAAGTTACTTTGAGATCCATCTGTGCCTTTGGGATTGGAAACTTAATGATGATCGCTTGGCGTAAATGACTAAAGGAAAGATTGTTAGAAATAATATGTAAACATTATTCAACTGATGCTACCTTTCAGATGTGTGCTTGGCAGGCTTTGAAACTGGCTGAGTACGTAGGACTCAGTACGTAAGACTGAGTACGTAAGACTTTAATGTAGGGGTCAGCAACCTGCGGCTCTGGAGCTGCATGCGGCTCTTTGGGCCCTCTGCTGTGGCTCCCTGTCAGGTGATCCCACCCCTCACCTTCTCCTCCCAGTCACTCCTCACCACCTCCTGAGAAGGTAAGGGCGACGGCGGGGGATGGAGAAACGGCCATGGCAGAGATAGAGATAGAGAGAGAAGGAGAGAGGGAGGGAGTGGAGAGAGAGATATGTCTTAGGACCTGGTTATCTACGGGACCGCCTACTACCACCAATAGCCTCCCACGGCCGGTACGCTCTCATAAAGAGGGGCTCCTCCGGGTGCCGTCGGCCAAACAATGTCGACTGGCGGCCCCCAGGGGGAGAGCCTTCTCTGTGGAGGCACCTACTATCTGGAACGAGCTCCCCCCGGAGATACGGAGGATCCCAGATCTGCGCACCTTCCGCCGCGCTCTTAAGACCTTTTTATTCCATCAGGCGGGCCTGGCCTAATCTTTTCCCTCTTTTAAATTACACAAATTTTAATTGGTTTTTAAATGATTGGGGTTTTAATATGTTTGGGCCAAATTTGTTTAATTCGATTTTACTTTGTTTTTAAATTTTATATCTATGTATTTTTACTGTTTGGCTGTTCACCGCCCTGAGTCCTTCGGAAGTAGGGCGGTATATAAATTAATTAATTAATTAAAATAATAATAATAATAATAATAATAATAATAATAATAATAATAATAATAGTAATAATATGATGTCAAAAGGGTTTTGTGGTTCCCAATGTTTTTTAACAACTGTTTCTCTGCCTTAATGACCAGCTGGGTAGGCGTGACCGGGGGGGGGGATCATGTGACTGGTGAAAGTGAGTGACATTGAGTTGGCTATGCCCACTGAGATTTTGTGGCTCCTGGTGTTTTCTTTTCTGTGGGAAATGGGTCCAAATGGCTCTTTGTGTATTTAAGGTTGCAGACCCCTGCTTTAACGGCTGATGGCAGTAATCTGAAAAATCAGGAAATTTAAAAGACAGATTGGACCTTCCCGATCTCCTTCCAGTGTTCTTTGCTCTGAATTAGATGACCAAAAAGTTTGGGAAACTCACACTCCCAAGTTTGACCTTGGTTGGTTGTAAAACCAACTTCAAACCAACAACCAAGAGATCTGAGATCTCTTGAAAGAAAGTCAATAAATTGCCCCCCTCAACTTTTGGTAGACCTGGCTGAACCCTTTTTCTTTCACACCTTTCTACGGGGAAGAGAAGGACCACCCAAGCACGGAGATATTAAAACCAACCAAAAGTGCATTTCAATATGAGCCCGTCTTGACAGTATGATGCTCCTAGCAGTTTAATCAAGATGGGCTTAGAACGCTGGAACGCACTAAATGCTACAAATTACTGAAAGCTTTATTAGTCATTCTTTTGATTTCTTCTTCTGTAGGCAAACAAGTGTAGGGAAATATATGCAAACAAAAATGAGAGCAATATAGATCAAAAGCAATCACGCCGATCGTAGTTTAGAGATGCTGCCTGAAGCGTCACGGATAATACTGTATTCATTTCCAGTCCTGCTGGGAAGATTCAGACTTCAGTTTTAAAACACAAAAGGTCGAACTTTGGCTAAGTCTTGGCTAGGACCAAAAAAAAAAAAAAAAAAAGCTCTTAGCAAATGGATCAAACAAGGATAGATTCTTTTGATGGGACAAATAGGAGCAACTGTCCAGAGTTCTGAAAGTTGGGGTCATCTCTACCAAATCCATTCAGGCAGAACATCATATTTCATCAGTGAAATTAAGCAAGAAAAGTAAACCAGAAAAGCAGAAGTTCATTGTTAGTAACAAAGCCTTCCCAGTTCTTTAACCAGCCTGTCAGCACTCCAAGCTGCATTCACTCCAGAGCTGACATAAGAAGGAGAAGGTGGGGGCATCTGGCAAGAGGACGCTTGACTTTTCACCTACTTATTTTCCCTGGAGATACTGTCCCCTAGGAGATGGGTTGGGAGGGGGGAAATTCCTTTGAGCTGAAGTAGTAGATAACAGCAGAGTGACTTGGAAGATGGCCAATGAGAAGCAGAGCAGTGGGGAAAGGAAAGGGAGGGTTTGGATCAGGAAGTCAGTGTTGCCTGCAACTGAGTCTGAGTTTTGATTGTTGTGCCTAATAAATGAAAGATTTTGATCAAGGACTATTTGTTTGAAATGCGGTTTATTTGAGACGACACCGAATCCTGACACAGCCATTGTTTTGATCTGTTCAGAAGCCAAGCATCACCACTTCCTCTGGTCTTAACAGCACCCCAAAAGTGAAAAGGATGCTGGCCGGCCAAAGCTCTTGGATTAGTGTATAAACTTCCTAACCTTTCTGCCTTAAATGTCAAATATTCAGCCCCAAATATGATATTTGGAGCATGCTTGTTGCAAGTGAGCTTCTTAGTTATACATTGAATGCAGCTCCTTGTAAAGCTGGCTTTGTCCCTGATTCTGCTAACTCTCTTTTAGATCCAAGACTTGAAGTCCATTAAGATTATAATATGATATCTAGTATCTGAAAGGCCTGACTTTTCCTAAGAGTAGAAAAGCATTTTTTTAGAACCAGGCTTTATAACTTCCTTCAACACTCCTGCAATAAATAGGTATGATGAAACTCTCAACAATTGAGAGAATATGTACACGTGGCAATGGGGAAGTTGAAGATATTTCACATGTCCTATTGCAAGTTCTACAGGGACCTCAGATCAACATACATTCTCCTTCTAGTAGATCCAGGAACTTCTACGTGAACCATCTCCTTCAAGGATTCCACCGCTCGAGCAGTAGCAAAATTTTGGGCTGCCGCAATGATCATAAGGGGAAAAACACTTAAAGAACTAAAGATCCTTATTCAGATAGCTATTTTTGCTTAGTTATTTTCCAGTCATTTTTAGAGAATGTATTTATTTTAATCTTTAACTTCTGTGCTGGTCTGTGACTGTAATAAAGATTGGTCCTGATTCTACTATCTGCTCTACTATCTACTGCTATCTACTTTGGTTCTGCAACCCAACAAGACAGACACAGACTTCAGAGGATAATTAGAACTGCAGAAAAAACAATTGCTACCAACCTGCCTTCCATTGAGGACCTGTCTACTGCACGAGTCAAAAAGAGGGCTGTGAAAATATCGACAGACCCCTCGCATCCTGGACATAAACTGTTTCAACTCCTACCCTCAAAATGACACTATAGAGCACTGCACACCAGAACAACTAGACACAAAAACAGTTTTTTCCCGAACGCCATCCCTCTGCTAAACAAATAATTCCCTCAACACTGTCAAACTATTCACTAAGTCTGCACTACTATTACTATTAATCTTCTCATCGCGTTCCTATCACCCATCTCCTCCCACTTATGACTGTATGATTGTAACTTTGTTGCTTGGATCCTTACGATTTATATTGATATTGTTTCCTGATTGCTTATTTGTACCCTGTGACTATCATTAAGTGTTGTACCTTATGATTCTTGACGAATGTATCTTGTCTTTTTATGTATACTGAGAGCATCTGCACCAAAGACAAATTCCTTGTGTGTCCAATCACACTTGGCCTATAAAGAATTCTATTCTATTCTATTCCAGGCACAGGTAACATATGGCTCTTTAGATGCTTGAAGTCCAAGTGATATTGTGCAGTGGTGGATCACGGTGGGAATTGAGGCCCAACATGTAGAGAGCCCCTGATACATGGCTGACTGTCGCTTAGCCTGTTCTTACAGTTGGAAAAAAAAATCCTGAGTGCATTGGGTAGAATTCTTTTTTTAAAAAATAATAATTGCAGCCCTGGATGTTTAGCATAATTTGGGTTCTTTTTCCTCTTGCAGGTTGAGAGGGATTTTGAACGGGAATATGGAAAGCTTCAACAGTAAGTATTCTTAGTCATTTCATTCGGGTGGGTGTTCTTTCTTGGCTCTTTTCTCCCGACGTTGCTTTCCTTCCTTCCATTTATGTTCCTTTTCAGACTGACAGGCTCTCTGAGCAGTTTACAGAATAATAAGAAATTGCCTGTAATCAAAAACGACATGATACCAGAGGAGAGGAAACAAGATAACTTAAGCACCAGTTCTTAAATGTTTACTGCTCCTGTACAGGCTAAATAGAATGAAAATGGGGCTACATAGAGAGACCTAGATGAAACCTTCACCCCCAGAGTTGATGATCTTCTCACTGACAGTTGTTTTGTTTAGTTAATTACAGGATTTGTGTGGCCGCCCATCTCGTACATTGACTCTAGGCCCGTGATGGTGAACCTATGGCACGTGTGCCACAGGTGGCACACAGAGCCATGTCGCCTGGCACGCCAGCTCAGGTCTGGCACGTGTTCGGGCCTTCTGGGCCCACCAGAAGTAGGGAAACAGGCTGTTTCCTGCCTCTGGAGGGCCTGGGGGGGTGGGGGGGGAAGGCCAGTTTTTCTTTCTCACCTGGCTCCAGATCCTCTCTATGCATCTGGGGAGGGCAAAAACAGCCTTCCCCACGCCCTCCGGAGGCCCGAAATGGCCCGTTTCCCAACTTCTGGTTGGACAGGAAGTGACTTTTTTGCTGTCCCCAGCCTCCAGAGACTAGTTAGGGAAACAAGCTGTTTCCTGCCTCCAGAGGGCCTCCGAGGGGGTGGAGACCAATCAGAACACACCTCCACCCAATCAGAACACAGCCAAGCTCCCACCCAATCAGTTCACACCCCCACTGGCAGTTAAAAGGAAGAAACAGCTGCGATCACATACATTGCTCCTAGAAGCACGAAGCCGAAGACACCAGCCTGAAGATGACGGATGAGACTTCGTCGAAACATTGCCAAGACACCTCCAATTTTACATGGGAGAAAACCCGAATAACCAAAGACCTACATACAAACACCCACGAAAACCTCAGAAAACAAATAGTTTGCCAGTTTCTGACAATTATTTCCTCTTTCTGGCAAAAACCCTCCCATTGGCTGAAATGGATTTAATGATCCATTTAATGATCACTTAACGATCACAACTTACAACTGGGCTCAATTACGGTCGTTAAGTCAAGGACTTTCTGTACCATGTTACTGCTTACATAAAGAAAGTATCTTCCGTGTAGGAATTTTGTAATGTGAAACAGCTGGGACTTCGTTCTAAACTGTTACAACACTAAGCTGGCTTGTTCTTTTTTTTAAGGGTCACCTGTGCTTCTTTGGTCTTTCTGGAATTGTCTATTTGATCCAGGTATCATCCTGGCTTCCTAAGTTGCTACTTCTGTGTACATACCTTGGTTTAGTCTGAGTCCTTCATGCCAGGATCTGATTTGTTTTTCAACTGCTTGGTAGCCATTGTTTCCCATGTCTGCCTTGTATTTGAACAATACACAGGAAAATATGAATTTTTATTCATATTTCTCAACCTTGGAAACTGTAAGACGTGTGGACTCAAATCCCAGACTTCCTCAGCCAGAATTCCCCAGCATGGCTGGTTGGAAAATTCTGAGAGTTGAAGTCCAAGTATCCTACAGTTGTCAATGTTGAGAAAACCTGTTTATATTGATCAAGGTAAGAGTCAACTATCATCTTCCTAAATCATAATAATCATAATAATAAAGTATCATCTTCCTAAATCATAATAATTCCATAAGACACCATTGCTGTGTTCTCTGTGTGAAGGACAACAGACATACAATTTTATCTGAGGTGTGCCTTCCCTACATTAAATCAATTTACCTTTATTTAATGTTATAATGTCAGCAGTCTCCAAGATACAAAAGACTTACAGTATCGTTCTTTCTACTGTTCCCACCTAATTGACCAGTTTTCAGCAGTCTGAGGAGAAAAAGCTCTAGGAATTCTCTTTATTTCTTCATTGTTTGATGCATTTCCTGCTACTGGCTTGGTCGGACAGGAATTCTGTGACAGGAATTCTCTCCCAAGAAGAAGTTTGAGCCACTTCTTTTAACTCCTCACTTGGAAAATACTAATCTTTGTTTACACGCAAGGAGAATATAGAGAGGTCTCCCAAATCCATGTTGGTTTAATTAGTTAATTACGCACTAATTAATTCATCGGTTTAATTACATGGTGAATATGCAACAAATGCTTTTAGACAACGTATAGAAATGAACAGAATCCAATGTCTTGGCACGAGATGGAAGTTAAGAGTTATGCAGGGGAAAAAAAAACCCCATATTTTTGTTAAGACGATACGGTAATGAGAGAAACTGCAACCACTTAGATCATATGCAGTTATTTATATGCTCACCTCCTGCATACTGAATTCCATTTGTGCTCTTACTTGATTTCTGTTCTGTAAGCTACTGGGGAGTATCCTTGGGAACAGGGATTTGCCTTGGTGCCTTTTCAGTGGTACATGTAGTCCTCAACTTACAGCCAGTTGCTTAGCAACCATTCAAAGTTACAAAGGATCTTCCTAGCAGGTATTTACAATCTGGATTCAAAGTTCTGACGATCCTTCCACCAACACCACCATATTTATGAGGGTTTCCAGCATCGCATTAGTATTATGTCTGTGGATAAGATAGATAGATAGATAGATAGATAGATAGATAGATAGATAGATAGA